CCAGAAGATATAGGAATGGCCCACAATCCACGCCACTCGCCTTGCGGAGACAAAGAAAACCAGTCAGGCCGCCACCCAGGGAACTGGAGTCCCCCACCCGTTACACCAATCGCCCCAGCCGCACATAGGAACGGAAACGAATGGATTCCCACCTACCTATCAGCTTCACGATCTCCTCATCCAAGCCCAGTCTAGTCGCCTCCGTGGCCGCACCAATGCGGAAGGAGTGAGTCCAAAACTGGGTGGGCTGGAGCCCCATCGCCATCAGGCTGAGCTGCAAGACCCAAGCAAATTGAAAACGGGATAATGCAGAACCGTCCTGATGAACCAGGAAACAGCCGCCACCCCCCGGCCGTCCTTCCAAGTACCTTGTCACGTCAAGCACGGGACACAACTCCGATCCCGCTAGGCGGTGAAGGGTGATATCCACGCCCTACCCCAACACGTCCGTCTTCGATCGCGCCAGCCTCACCACCACCTTGGTGGCAGACAAACTCACCCCATTGCACCCCGCTGCCAGTTCCCCAATGCAGAATGCACCAAAGAACGCCAAGATGAACGTCAAGCCGAACAGTTGCGCCTAGTAGTCGGAGACGCAAATGCCTGGGAGCACCTGCACCAGGCACTTGAGAACCTCGAAGGAGATAGGTCTCCTGGGGTCCTGTACCACTTTGCCCCTCCGAAACCCCTTCAGTGCTTGCCGAAACAGGAAACATTTTGTCAGGTCTTCCCAGCCGCAAAGTTTGAACCAAAAGGCCAATGTCGACATATGCCTGTTGACCACTGCCGGGGACGAGCCACTAACTAGCAGCTGACCCGTGTACCACAGGAATGCATCCATGCGAGATCCCCCAACCGGCTCACCTGCCATCCTGTGCCACGAGTTTTCCCACGACTCCCACACCTTGCAGTAAGCCTCCTGTAGCAGAACCCCTGTGGCTGTCCAATACATCCCCCTGTATAATATTTTTTGTTGGAACCGAAGAGTTTTCCTATACCTGGACTATACAGAATTGCCTACAACCTTATGTGGCCATGCTAGGATTCATCAAGGTGTTCGGTAGAAAAGAGATACAAGTCTGCATGTGAATCGCTGTATTCACCATACGAACTAAAGTGCTGAACAACCGGACCACCCTGGTGTGAAGTGTGGCTGTAATTTACCTCCCTGTATGCTTGTTACATTCCCCTGTTTCAAACACACGAACGCTCTGCTGTATTCCATGGGTGGCCGCCATTTCGGCAGCCGAACACGTGGCGTCGGCCATCTTAAACTCCCGAACAGCGGTGTTTGGTCGTCGAGTCTCTGGAACTCAAATCGGACACTCGACTAAGCGAACACTGATGAGACCTCCAGGACTTCAGAAAGTACCGATCGAAACACTCGAACGGCCCGTCATTAGGTAGGATGAATCCCACGAACTAGGGGATTCATCCGAATGCGAACTCAGCTGTAGATGGCATAGACGTTCGGGACTTTTGATGCGCGAACGGAGACCGACTGCAGGGCCAAGATTCATGGAACTATTTTCGGCTACTTTGCCCATGCGGTCGATCAAATATTTGCGTCCTCGTAACTCCCGAACCCCTGGTCTGATCTGGGTGATTTTTGGATATGTGTCTCACTCAGATCAGGGGGTACCACATTTAAAGGTGGACCTACCATATTTGGGGTACATCCAAGAATTGGGGAAAAGTAGGTACATTATAATTATGTTAACTGTTAAGCTAAGGGGAGGAGATGTGTGGGAGGTAACGTCTGTGTGATTGGTTACTGTACTGATTATGGTGGGTGCCTCCCTTGCATGGGAGAATCCCATAAAAGCAGGAATTGTGTCATTAAACTTCAGTTCTACTCCTGATCCTGTGTGTCGTCCGGTGATTGGGAAAGGTGATGGGATATTATGGAATTGTCTTGCTGATTGTGCTGGTTACCCTACTGGATTTACTACTTGTTCCTGAATTATTTTAATACACCAGTGGAGTTAAGCTG